GTATCACCTACACTGCCGTGCTAAGTAAGAATGCCATATGGACCATCAAGCGTCGCCAAATTTCCTCCGACAAGTCACAAATTTTCAGGAAAATTTGAGAATATTTCTCCTCCGATTTTTCAGAGGATTCGTAATTTGATCTAAAACGTCTGGAAATTTCAAGGAAAAGTATTCTCAACTTTCCTTAAAAATACATATTTTCAAAGAAGAAATTTGGCAACATTTGAATGCTTATGCGACGTTTTTGCTCAGCACGAAAGTGTGCAAGACGCTTTCATCTCACGAGGTCACCGTAGAAACGAAGAAGAAGAAATGCTCGTAAAAAATTGGAAAACTTGGGCGAATGTTACGCGTTCATAAACGTCTTTGCAAGTTGGGACGGCCTATCGAAAACTTTTTTTAGACCTAATCGATCATTTGGACCGCGTTAAACAGAAAGGAACCAAGCCACATCAGCTATTGCCAAATTTAATTGGGCAATTTAATTTTTTACGTGAAAACGGTTGTGTGGATTTTCGTGCAAATTTCAGTGAAAATTCTCCGTGGTGCGAAACAAATTCCTTAAAATGTTCAAAGGAATCCGAACAACCGTTCTCTCGTAAAAAATATAATTGCCCAGTTAAACTTGGCAATCGCTGATGTGGCTTGGTTCCTTTCTGTTAAACTCGGTCCATTTCACCGTCGAGTCATGTCGCCGTAGGGCGAGACTATGTAATATTCGGCAAGGCATTGCCGGTTTTGTTCAAGTTGACAACATTACAGGGGGATTTCCTCCCACGAATTTGCAGATCAAATAGGTGCAACGAAAAAAAAAAAAATTATTTTACCGTATACTTATTAAAACTTACCTAAGTACTGAAACATATAAAACCGTACACGCCGTTGATGCGTTTAAGTGTCAATTTTCATTTCAGCCTCTGTAACCTTTGGTTTAAAGAGGAAAATGTGCATAATGCGTTGTCGAATGCCGTGCTTGCACCCAAAACCTCATGCCAACTTCACGTGTTTTTCGGTCAATCCTAGAGAATCTCGCGACTTTTCTTCTGCTGTAGGTCATTTCCTCCCCACTTTTTAACGCTCAATTTCGCACTGATGAACTTCATATAGCGCATTGGGTCAATTTAATGAGCGTGATCTAACATGCAGCTATCAGGTTGACAAGAAAAAGCTCCGTTCGTGTTGTCCCAGACGCAATTGGTATCCTCGCGAAAAAACTGAAGTGGAAATGATAAGCGCAAGTTGAAGCTGCCATTTTAATTGAGCCTTGTTTTACGTCAGAGCGGTACAGTGACGTCCAAACGGACGGGAGAGCTGGGCAGCTCCCACGGCTCTTTCCGATGGCTATGCATGCTAATTTGGATGATTGAATTTGTACGGAATCGATGAGTTGCGAAGAGAAGAGAAGAGAAGGGGAACTTGCTCGGCCTAATTATTCCATTTTCAGTAATGCACGCACTTGCTGAGTAACTCGTTTGAGGAATGAGCTTGGGCGAAGGCTAATGTGGACGTGATTTTTCATTCGAGTAGTTGGACTTGACGAACTTGCAGCATAGGCGTCGTACCTAGGTCGTTTTCCT